CAGATATGAATATGGTGAAGGTTCTGTCCTGTTCTGGGAATGAATAAAAGCAAAAAAAAAAAAAAGCAGTAATTATTCAAGCGGTAAGGGGATAGCACAAGGCCCACGTACCCTGGGAAAAATCACAAATGCCTCCGAGCTGGCATCCAGGGAAAACGTCTCCGGGATACAAATTACACTAGGGCCTAAGTAATCTTCCCAAATACCGATAAGTGGATGGGTGGGGGTGGGGTGGGGGCTTCTATTTTTTTCCTCTTTGTGGCTAAAAGGAGCCTGTCAGTTCATGTCAACATGTCTGGTTATGCAAACAAGAGATGATAATATCTCCAGAAATGTCAGCAACTCGTTTGGCAATGAAATACATTCTAGAGAAACACACACACAAGTCCACTTCCACAAACATAAATAGGAACACTTCTTTGGGCTTCTCCCTAGGTAATAGAATGACAGGTCATAGTACTTTCAAGTTTAATTCATTCTCTCTCTCTCTACACACACACACACACACACACACACACACACACACACACACACACACACACGGTTGTCAGAAAAGTCATGATGCACTTTTTGCAAAGAAAACATAGAAAAAAACACAACATGACTTTTCCGACAGCCCAATGTATACGTATTTGGATATGGAGTTACACCCAGAACATGACTAAAGGAGGAGTCCACAGTCTGAGGCTGCGCAGAGCACGGAGCTGCCACTTGGCCGGATCACGGCGCAGTCCCCGCGCTGCACAGCCAGCCTCGGTTCTAGACTCTCTGCAAAGGTATCATTTTTGTATACCCAGGATCTAGCGGAAGCACTGAAAATCTCTTTTTGCTGAATGACACAACTGGAGTCGATTCAGGTTTCAGGAGAGCAGTCGATAAGCTGAATACAGGGAGGTATAAAGCAGTATCTCTGGGGGAGACCACAATAAACTGGGATTGCTGATATAATGGGCTAACAACAGTCAAGTACATCAGCAGGATTTTCTCGAGTTGAAAATCTTAAAGTTGAAAACCAGTATAGCATTAGTAACAGATGGACATGAGCTGCGGAAGGGAGACGTAAAGCGACAGTTTGGAGTTACCTAGTCGAATCGACCTTCGAGAAGTTGAATATATTTCAAAACAACCTCCAGCCTCTGCAACCTAAGATCACTTCTAAGTCAGCCCATTGCCAAGTCCACATCCCACAAGGGCCTTTCTTTGGTCACCGCAACAGTATTCGGTGAGGGCCCCTTGACTGCCATCCCAGCGAGCCTTTACCATGTGGCAGCCACAGGGCCGGCTTCCCTCTTGGGAAGGCACCTCTCCTGGAAGCGGGAGTCCCCTTGCCCTTAGGAAGAGTCGTCCCTGTTCTAGAGCAGGTGGGCCACATGGTGCCTGTGTGTCGTATTTGCAGGTAAGAAAGCCTAGACCGCTTTGAAGCCAAAACTCTCAGTTCTGCAGAAGCAGCACAAAACAGCTGACCCAGCAGAGGGCTGGAGAGAGGAGGAGGCCTGAAGTCCGGTTATTAGAGAGCATGACCTTTAACCTCTCAATGCTCCACTCCCCTGCTGGAGAAGAGGTAGGAGACAGCAATCTTTGGCCTGCAGGGTTGCTATAAAGTTTCTTTGTGACATAATTTAAAGGTAGTAAGTAGTAAGATAAAGCAGAAATCTTAGTAAAGAGGACTGAAGGGAAAGCTTTGAAAAGTGTGTCAGGTAACAAAGTTTTTGCAAAAACAGTTAAATGAAAAATTTTTTGCTCCGATTAAAAAAAAGTATTTACCTATTTATTCATTTCAGTCAGTTCACATTTAGTGCTAAAATTTAAAGCATATGGATAAAGACCCAAAATTACTTGTACAAAATTGTTCCGGCATATATATCCATGCATACTGTGCGTGTGTGCGTGTGTGCGCGCGTGTGTGTGGTAGGTATACTGTGTAACCTGCTTTCTTCACTTACCATTGCCAGAATTCCCTATCATGAAACAGCCAGCCACGTGGCCATTTTCAGGGGCTGCAGAGTGTGTGCCGCTGTACAGCAATCACATACAGCATTTAACCAGTCCCCTGATGAAGGAACTGTGTGCAAATTCTCACCTTCGTGATTAACGCAGTGTGAAACACTCTTGAACGTAAAACTGCTCTATAATCTCTGCTATTTTTGGCTCTACTGGATGCCACATGCTCTACTCCCTGGAACAGTCAGACATGCAGTTACAAACTGGCACCTGACAGGCAATGGTACCGTCTTCTCTGAGTCTCACACACTAATGTCACTTTCCTAATCTCTCCAATAATAATTAATTGTACAGAGTTCTCAAATGCCACCATAAGGGTTTGTTTTCCCTGCCATGTATTTTTTTTTTTTTTGAGGGATTTTCGCTATAGGGCGCGTGCGCTCGCCAGACAGACAGAGACATAGAGACAGAAAGCGAAAAATCACCCCCTGGGGGGATGGTCACACCGCAATCCCTTCTCCTCCATTCTCCTCTTGGGATCTTGGGCACGCACGCACACGCGTCCGGCATGAGTTTTAAGCCACCGGGTCCAGGCAGCGAACCGCGGTCAACTACAGGGGAGTCCAGTGACATAGCCATTACGCTAACTGCTGGTTCCCCCTGCCATGTATTTTAAAAGCACTTCCCATGAACCTACTTTAAATATATATGAACCTCAAAATAAATACGTTAAGACTTTTGGGAAACCCATTTTCACAGAAATTAAAATTAAGAAAACATTAATAAGTTCCTGATGCTTTTTCCTAAGATGCAGCCTTTGCCTGAATTCCCACCTGTCCCTTGTGTCCAGACTTAGTTCCTGAAAAGCCGCTTCTCACAGAAAGCTTTTCCCAGCTAAATGAATATCGTTTCCCAACTCTTACTCCACAGTGCCATTCCCAGGGCTTCCTCAGTCCCCTCCTTGCTTTTCAGCTGTACATTGACTGACCTTTCCTAGACTCAGTCTTTTCTTTCTTCTTTTTAAAATAAATGCAGTCAAGGCTTTGCATCTATTTTGGACTAACTCCTTAGCTGCCTCCCAGGTTTTGCGGGTAGTATTTTTTTGTTATTTAGCTGTAAGCACTTCAAAATTTCCATTGTGGTTTCTACTACAACCCATGAATTCCTCAGAAATACATGCACACACACACACACACACACACACACACACACACGCACTTCGGTTTCCAAATTCATCCTTCATCTTTTTAATCACTGATTTCTAACTGTGCCACACTGTTGGCAGGTAACGTGATCTGCTGAATAACGGCTTCTGAGACCGCTCTGCGAACCTAGTACATGGTAGGATTTGTAGACACGCTCACGCGTTCCTTCAACACCAATTGTTAGCTTTTATCCAGGTTAGGCTAATCTTCTATGTTTTCAATCCCTTTTTTCACCTGGCATTTTCTAATAGAAATATGTTAAGATTGTGGATCTGGGGACCAGCAGTTGGCTATGTTGCTGGACTCCCATGTAGTCGACCGTGGTTCAAGTCCCGGACCCGGCGGCTTAAACTCACGACGGGTGCGTGTGCCCAAGATCCCGAGAGGAGAATGGAGAAGAAGGGATTGTGGTGTGTGTGACAGCTGTACGGAGGCACACACTCTGCAGCCCCTGGGGGGTGATTTCTCGCTTTCTATCTCTCTGTCTCTCTCTGTCTTTCTGGTGAGCGCGCGTGCCCTATAGCAAAAACCTCTCAAAAAAAAAAAAAAAAGAGATTGTGGATCTGCCAATGTCTCCTTTAAACTCTCAAATTTTGTGGTTATGTGCACATTCCATGATTATTTTCATGTTCTTTGTGGACAAGTCTTTTTAACTGTCATACTGGCCTTTATTCCTATTGAGTCTGTCCACAATTCTATTTTTTACATTAATATTGTTACTCTGTCTTTTTATTGGCTGATTTTGTCTGCTGTGTGTTTTCCCACATCTTTATATCTTCCTTTCTGAATTATTTTGAGTTATATGTTTTCTAAGCAGCATACCGCTAGATATTGTAAAAACCTAAATGGATGGTCACTGCCTTTTAATAGTTAAGTTCCCTCCACGTAAACTTGTTGTGACAGATTGAGATCCTCTTATTTTGTGTTTCTACATCTTATCCTCATTCTTTGCTTTTCCCCCATAGTATCTTTTCTGCAATTTTCTTGGATAAGAAAAGGTTCTATTTCCATTCTTATTCTTGCCTGCTTTAGATTATGTTTCTAAACTGTGATGATTTTTTTAGCGTTCTTTTATTTTTTATTTATTTTTTTAAAAAATAATTATTTAATCCTTCCTTCCTTCCTACCTTCCTTCCCTCCCTCCCTCCCTCCCTCCCTCCCTCCTTTCCTTCTTTCTTTCTTTCAATTTTACCAGAGAAGGGCAGAGGGAGAGAGAGGGAAAGTGAGAAAGCAAGTTGCCAGGTCCAGGACTCAAACTGTGGTTGGCCATGTGGGAATCTAATTTGACTAAAGAGAGAGAGGGAGAGGGGGAAAGCGAGAAAGCAAGGTGAGAGGCCCAGGACTCGAACTGCAGTCAGCCATGTGGGAGTCCAGCACCTTAACACCATGCCACCTGCTGGCCCCCATATTGTCATGATTAACCAATCAGCACTGCAGGTAATGCACACCTATCACATTAATGTAATCCTCTGATAAGCCTCAGTGCCTATGAACATCATGCTTCCAGACTGCCAGAACGCAGTGAGCAGAGACCCATTCCTTGAACACGGCGGGTTGAAAAGGAGATCTGCAGTCAGTGTTTTCGATCAGGATTGGGGCAAGGCCCCTTTCCTGCAATCCACAGCAGCAGCATTACCAGATGTGTTGAAACCTTCCCTTAGTTGTGGTGACCTCCAGCTGAGCTTTACACACAATCTTACCAGAGAAATTACGTTTCTTCTAAAAAGAACCGCACAGGATTTATCATTATGATCCTCTTACTTTCCTCAACATCCATCCTCGCTTTACGGTGGGAGTTTTCCCTATTTCAACTTAAGACGTCACATTTTTCTGTCTTTACGTTATTTATAACAGGAAAAGAACTGGAGGTAATCCGAACACTCATCAAAGATGAAGTTAAACAAACCACACCGATGCTGTAGAAAATCTATGAACGTCTACACAAAACCTTACCTACAACCAAGATGCACACTGCACTGACCCGGAGAGGATTAGTGAATAAAGCTAGACACAAATCCCACATGTGTGAGCGTGCTAATGTGTCGGGTGCAGATACGTGCACTGCACACACCCTTGGTACCCCCACAGGACAGAGCTTCAAGTTAATTTTAAAACTGCTCCTTGAAGTAGCTTCAGTCTTCTTCTCTCTCCTCTGCTTTTTCTACCATCGTTTTAGTCATGGTTGCTGTGGTCATCTTTTTCTCTTTTTTAAAGAAAACCCAAGTTTCAGTTCCTAACAAGGCCTAAGCCTATTTCTCATTCTTTTTAGGTTAACATAAATCAGATCGCTGTGGTAAGTTCGTATTTCACTACAAAAATGTGTGACTGATTTCATTTCCTGGCAGTGGTACGCATTTGGTGCACACACACGCGAAGAGTCCAACTGAAATTCAATTGAAAAGCTCAGCTTAACGCTCGTCTGAAATGTGGGGTGCTCTACATGATTTTATTCTTAACCAGAAAATGATTCAGAAAAAGGAAAGGGGATTTCTGCCTAAAAAGTTAATATAGTTTCTCTTGTCACAAAATCACATTTGGCCTAATGAGATCATTCAACTTCCATTGCCAGGGCTTTGCCAAAGCCACCAAATCATGACGGCAAAACATGATTTTATTCTGTTTTCCTGTTACCATATATGGAACCAGACTGTGATTTCTACAAACTGTATAAGTCTTGATATTTAAACATTAGCTATATAAAAGGCAGTTTATATGACTTGGAATTAAATCTGCTTGTAATTAAACCCACTTCTCATTTTCTCTAGAGACCTTGGCCACCGCCAGTGGATATAAAAATGGTTCACAACTTCACCACACCCTCCACATTACCACTCCCTCAGGGGAATGACTGTGACCTCTACGCACACCACAGCACGGCCAGGATTTTAATGCCTCTCCACTACAGCCTCGTCTTTGTCATTGGGCTTGTGGGAAACCTGTTGGCCTTGGTTGTTATTGTTCAAAACAGGAAGAAAATCAACTCTACCACCCTCTATTCGACAAACCTGGTGATTTCCGATATTCTTTTTACCACCGCTTTGCCTACGCGGATAGCCTACTACGCGCTGGGCTTTGACTGGAGAGTTGGCGATGCCCTGTGCAGGATAACTGCCCTCGTGTTCTACATCAACACCTATGCAGGGGTGAACTTCATGACCTGCCTGAGTATCGACCGCTTCTTCGCTGTGGTGCACCCTCTGCGCTATAACAAGATGAAGAGAATCGAACACGCCAAGGGTGTCTGCATATTTGTCTGGATCCTTGTGTTCGGGCAGACGCTGCCCCTACTCATCAACCCTATGTCAAGGAAGGAGGCTGAAAGGACCACGTGCATGGAATATCCCAACTTCGAGGAGACGGAGTCCCTTCCCTGGATTCTGCTTGGGGCATGCTTCATCGGCTATGTGCTCCCTCTCACGATCATTCTCATCTGCTATTCTCAAATCTGCTGCAAACTCTTTAAAACTGCTAAACAAAACCCACTGACCGAGAAATCGGGCGTGAACAAGAAGGCTCTCAACACAATTATCTTGATCATCGTTGTGTTCGTTCTCTGTTTTACACCTTATCATGTTGCAATTATTCAACACATGATTAAAAAGCTTTGTTTTCCCGATTTCCTGGGATGTAGCCAGAAACATTCGTTCCAGATCTCTCTGCACTTTACAGTATGCCTGATGAACTTCAACTGCTGCATGGACCCTTTCATATATTTCTTTGCATGTAAAGGGTACAAGAGAAAGGTGATGAAGATGCTGAGACGCCAAGTCAGTGTCTCCATCTCTAGTGCGGTGAGGTCGGCCCCTGAAGAGAATTCACGTGAAATGACAGAAACACAGATGATGATACATTCTAAGTCTGTAAATGGAAAGTGAAATGGATCTATAGTGAAGAAAACTGTACAATGAACTCTGCAGGGCTTATAAAACAAAACGACTGCTCCACCTCCAATCAGGATTCTCTTCACTGGGCACTGTCTCTACCTCCAATGCGGAAATAAGATGAGATATATGCATATCTCTCCGCTCAAGAGAACAACATAAAAGGAAGTCCTAGTTTGTAAATTAAATAGCATATTGAAAGATGAGCTATCTTTTTAATTCTTAATGTAAAAACATAAAGTTTAGAGTTAATACAAAAAAAATTGGGAACAGCAGATGGCATAATAGTTATGTCGCTGGACTCCCATGTAGTTGACCGCAGTCTGAGTTTCAGACCTGGAGACTTAAAACAGGGTGCATGTGCATGCATGCCTAAAACCCCAAAAGGAGAATAGACAAGAAGGGACTGTGGTGTGACCACCCCCCTGGGGGGTGACTTCTGCCCTATAGCAAAAGTCTCTACCCACCCCCCCAAAAAATCATTACTATTTCATGCCAATAATTTGGCAAGAGAAAAAAGACTGACTATATTGTATACTACCAGTGTAAAAAATGTTAATATTGTAATTATTTTTGGTAATGTATTTCTTAAATCCATTTTTTTTTCAATTTTGTCTCTTCAATAACATCACTTTGTTGTTGTTGTTGTTGTTATGATCATAACTCTGTTTCAAAGAACACTTTGGAATAAAGAGGACAATGCTACAAAACTGAGTATGCCCCTGAATGCTCACTCTCAATGATCAGCAGAATTTACAGGGGACACACTTAGCAACAGGTAGAGGGAAAGGGCAACAGGACAAGGGCTGGTGGTGACTGATGTGATGAAAGAACTGAGCTCTTCCCAATGGGCCTGCAGAGTACAGAAGGGCCAGTGCTCAATGGGAGAAGGGGACCCTTGCTGTATTCTTCTCGGGAATAAAAAATGTGTATATATGCTTGGTTTTCTTCAGGTCTTTAGGAGATCATCTCTTTTTATTCCCACGTTGGTAGTACCTTGTATCTGTATTTCAATAGTTTGTATTCCGTATACCCCAATCCAGAGATTGGGAAAGGAGACCAGACTACAGCATGATCCATTGAGAGGAGCTTTTTCTCTTTCTCTCTACCTCTGCCTCTTCTGGGAAGCCCACATGCCCAATGGCAATTTTTAAAAAAAGCCTGGGGACCAGCAGGTGGCATGGTGGTTAAGGTGCTGGACGCTCCCACATGGCCAACCATAGTTTAAGTCCCGGACCTGGTGGCTTGCTTTCTCACTTCCTCCCTCTCTCTCTCTGTCTCTTTCTCTGGTCAAATTAAAATAAAAGAACGAATAAGTAAAATTAAATAAATAATTCTTTAAAAAAAAAAGTCTGTATTCTAGTCAAATTTGGCTATTTGCTCTCCTTTATTATTTATTTTTAATAGTTTATTTCCTCCATGAACAAGAGATAGTGAGCACTCTCAGCAGAGTTTGACGCCACGTTCTATCTTCAGACTCAGCCGGCCTGGGCCCTGGGCACATGCATGCCTGGGTAGTCAGGAATGAAAAAAAAGGTATGAAGTTGGAAGCTTTCCACGTGGGTCAGCTTTGCAATCTGGCCCCTTAACTTTCCTTTAAAAGGCCCTTACTGCCTTTTCTGTTCAAGCCATTGCTCACACGTGGCCTTGGGACACCCTCTCTTTGTCTTGTATTATTAGTTAACCCTATTTTTTATTTCCAGTGTATTCCCCTAACCAGCAGGTAAGCATGGAAAACAGAGAGTACTGACTAATCTTCGTATTCTGCTGCAGGACAGAGGAAGTGACATTGTACATAACACGCTTTCGAAATCACAATCTTAGAAGTCTTTTCTGTATGAATCGGGGACATACTCATTTCAGACAATAGGGAGCTAGAAAAATGCAGCTGGGAAGCAGAGTTGTTGCGGCAGCTGACCAGATTTACCCCTCTTCATAATTTTATTTTTATTTCTAAAAAGGTCATTTGATTAATTAAAAAAAAAAGCCTCCAAGCTATTGATTTAGTTTAAATCCATACAAATGCATTCACTATTCAGAGACAGGAGAGAACACACAGGACAGAATGGTCAACAGCTGATGTTAGAATGGCATCCGGTATACTTGAGGAGTCCGGATATTTACAAGATAGTCCGCAGGTCATATAGTGCCTTCCTTTTCACAATCCATGACTAGGATAAGCAGAGTGTTGCTTTCATTTTAGAAACTGGAGTCTAGAAAAGGCAGCTGGAAAACCAGAGGCAGCACCAGGAAGTAACTCCGTGACTTTGCCGTGGGAAGGCAGGACTGCACCACGTGGGCCCTGAGAGCACTGGACTGAAACCGTGTCGTCTGGTGCTGGCAGACCACACCACCCTTAAACAGGACGGACAACCCCACAGCAGGAAGATAAGGAACGCGAGGAGGCCGTGCGCTCCATGGGGGTGAGAACCCTGCCCGCTACTACCCAGAACCGGGCACGAAGAGGGTTCTCAAACCTCCATTAAACTGAATAGCACATATGATAATACCTTTCACTGGACTAATATACAGTGCATTCATGCTGGGAAAATTCATTTTACAAGCTATAATGATATACAGTAGTTGAAAGTATAAAACAATAAATAAATAAACAGAAAAAGAATAAAGACCTAGAATTTTTCTTGTGGGAAAAAGAAAATAAAAATTCTAAAGCCCCAGTGAAATACCTGTTCAGTTCTTAGGTTTTCAATGAAATGAAGAGATATCCATAAACGTGTGATCACGTGTGTAGAGTACACTGGAACTGCAGCTAGTTACACACATGCACAATGTGTTCCCTTGAAGACGCTGCAATTTAAACGGGACACTTCACAGGGTAGAGCTAATTACCTGGAAAGCCGATGTAAAACTCCAAAGAGAAGTAAGTCTTGTTTGGAAATAATTGTATATTTCAAGAGGCAAGAGCGGTGCCTTCTACCACTCGGTAACAGGTAGTATGCAATTTTAAAAGGGGAAGCACTGATCTTAAATTAACCCTTAAAATCATCTATTTTGGTCACTTTTCAGCTCTGCTAATTTGTTATTCTCTGCAAAACTAAAAAACATGGGCTCTCTGGCTATTTAGGGGTAGAATGAAAAGATGAAAAACAGGGCGGATTCTTTTGCAGCAGGGAGGATGGCACAAAGACCAGAACTGCACTGCTGGCAACTTCCCATTAAACTTGGAAACACCAATTACTTAAAAGACAACCCCCCTCTAATTCTAGTCCATTAAAGTCTGAACGAGACAAGAGTGAGCACTGCTGTTTAACACACGCCATTTCCAGGCACCGACCAGGACAACCTCATTTCGTGACTCCCTTAAGAGTTGGTATGATTACTGTCCCCATCTTGGCTGATGACAGAACTAGAGTGCCAAGGCCACGTGGCGTGGTCAAGATGGAATTTAGAGCCAAACCACCTGGCCCAGAGCAGCATGGCTCAAAGCATTCGGAAGCCAGAACTCATGGAAACACGAGAACTGGAGGGCCGGCTCGTTTCACCCTCCTCCCTGGGCTCATTTCTCTCTTTCCTGCAGCCCCATTCCTTGGACACCTCCCCATCAGCACATGTGAATTGTGGGTCCCCATCTTTCCCCTCAGGGCTCCCTAGTTCTCTGCAAACTCCACCTTCATGGCCTCAGCCACTCACACGCCACGGGCCTCCTTTCATCCGTGGGAATTCTGTTGGTGAACAAGTCCTCGCTTGAATGTTCTCCTGCACGCTCCCTTGCTCGCACTTTCTTTGCCCAACATCTTCACCCTGTCCCGACGCTGGCCATCACATCCCTAACTCCCCGAACTGCTTTCCTCTGGGTCACTCAACTGGAGTCGAAAGATTCTAATTACAATAGTAAGTACTTAACACACTGCCCATGCTCTGAACTCTGAACACTACACGCACACTGAAGCTTCACACCAATTAGCCGAGGCTCATCCTATTAAATACCCCTATTTTACGATGACAAAACGATGCCCCAGAGGGGTTGAGGAACTTGCCCTAGGTCACACAGCTAATGAGCAGGGAAGCCAGCCTCTAGACTCTGGGAGTCCAGCGCTGGGGCCTACGCTCTCGATCACTACATTTTCTCTTCTAAACTATCAGAATTATGTGTCCCTAAGAGAACCTGGAAAGTGGCATTTACTGTTCACCAAATAGCCTTGAGTTCCCTTGGTGGGGAGATACGTGACTACTTTTGGCCAATGAATTGGGGGGAGTGACATGTCCCCGGTAGGCTAAGGCATTAGAGAGTTATGAGGAGCTGCCACCCAGCTCCTGTCTCTTGCTGCAGCAACTAGGATGATCCAGACGGGGGCGCCTGTGTCAGCCTGGGTCCCTGAATGAGTAAACTCGGAACTCACACCCTATGCCCCACCCACCTATGCGGGACAAGGAGCAGGAACAAGAAACACACATGAGTACTGCACCACCGAGATTTCGGGACTGATTTGGGGCCTGTTCTGAATAACAATGTTTGACCTAGCTGGAATGAAAAGACCAATGCAGAGTGTAAGAAAAGAAAAATGTAAGTGGGCAGGACATTTAAGGACAGAAATGGAGGGCTGTCCGCTGACGATAACAGGTATGATATCTTTTTTTTTTTAAGAGAAATTTTTTGCTATAGGGTGTGTGCACTCACCGGAGAGACAGAGAGAGATGGAGACAGAAAGCAAGAACCCTCCCCTCCCCCCAGGAAGGATGGCCATATCGCAATCTTTTTTCCTCCACTCTCCTCTTGGGATTTTGGGCATGCATGCACATGCGTCCAGTGTGAGTTGTAAGCCACCAGGTGCAGGGCTTGAACGGTAGTCAACTACGTGGGAATCCAGTGATGGAACCATTATGCTATCTGCTGGTCCCACATGTATATCTTTAACTGGACTGACGTGTAGTGCATTCGCGCTGGGAAAATTCATTTAACAAGCTGTTGTGTTGTACCGTGATTGAATGTATAAAATAAAATAAAAATTAAATTAAATTTTAAAAAAAGAAAAAATTAAAGAGTTGACTTAGTTGTCCTGGCAAAACAGTCTTCCTTAATCCCACTACCATGTCATTTCATGCTCAAGGACTGAGAATGGTCCCCAAGATCTACCAGATCAGCTCCAAGTTCCTCTCCAATGCTTTCGAGTCCTGCCAGCCTCATTTCCCTCCACACCCAGTCTGTGTCTTTCGAGTTAGTCTGGTTGGTCTGTCTCCATCCCATGAAGAGCACCAGGATCTGGCTCTCCCTAGCAGGGTTCTTGTGCTTCCTTCTCTCACTGTTTTTGCTTGTATCCAAATAGAACCTCTTCTTTTAATTCCTCTTTGTCAAAGCCACCTGGACTCCTTTCCTC